CTCTTTCCTGCTGTGTACCAACTATTCCCTACAAATTGATCTTGACAGTTCAAAGCGTATTGTTCCCTCCCTCACATCTGCTCATTCACTAGTTTCATGAAAGATAAACAATCTTTCCAACCAGCAGCACCCCTTGTATAACATAACCTATCACCCAACATTACAAAGCATATTCAACATATATATCTAGCAAGCATGTCAGGACCTATGATTCTGACATTCTGCCCCACCAACTACATCTCCTCCTTTTCAGCAATTGACACAGTAATCAACATATAACAACTCCTTATTTTAACCAAATTTAACCCAGTGTAGGTCTGTCTGGGTAATGTGCATGGAACTTTTGCATTAACTTGGGAGCTGCATATTTTTGGAATTCACCCACTTTTGTTTCCCCATAGGAAAATGTTTTCACTGTATAAAGTACTGCACTTTCCCATTGTGAACCAGAGCCCAACATTTTTGACAACTCAAAATATTATTTCCTTCAATCAAGATGGGTGATGGACCAAATCCTTTGTTCAGGTTTGAGCAGGCTGAAATGAAACACAGGATGAAGATGTTTGTAAGTTTTAGGCAAAACCAGTTGTGCAGTCATTTCGTCAACAAGTCTTTTAACCACACAAACATTGGTACCATTTTTTTAAAGATGGCTGTAAGCTCTTCAAAAACATGGTAGACAAATATACTTACTGTCCCACTTTAAAATTCCAGTTGAAACAACTTTTCTATCAGCATATTTCTTATATGGTGGGCCCTTGATATGTGTTGTGGTTTGGTTCCAAGAACCCTGTAGATACCAAAATCCATGGATGCTCAACTCCCGTAAATAGTGACATAGTGTCCCTTATATAAAATGGCAAAATCAAGGTTTGATTTTTGGAGTTTATATATATTGTTTAAATATTTTCAATCTGTGAATGCTTGAATCCATGGATAAACAATCCATGGATATGAAGGGCCAGCTATAAGTCTCTTTGACAAAATCCAATGTGGATACACTATGAGGCCAGGAGGTGCTAATCTGCAGAGTCCATTCCACTAAAGGTGGTGTGTCAGACTGGTTGATGTCAAGACTCAGCAACAGTCTGAGCTCTTGTTCATATGTCACTTGAAATGGTAACTATCTAGCTGTATAGAATTATTACAAGCCATCTCAGCAAATGGGAGCAATCCAAACAAATTCTCCATCTGAAAACACGTTGCAGAAATAATCTAGTTTGAGACCACTTTAATTGCCCTGGCTCAATGCTAGGGTGTTCTGGGAACTATAGTTTTGTGAGACATTTAACCTTCTCTGTCAGAGAACTCTGATGCCACAACAGACTACAATTCCCAGGATTCCCTAGCACTGATCCAGAGCAGTTAAAACAGTCTCAAACTGGATTATTTCTGCAGTGTGTTTTGGATCATAGTTTCACAAATATTGTTCCAACACTTGGTTCACTTTTCCCATCTACTCATCAGTTTCTATTCTGGGTCTTAGAAAACAAATGGTAAGCCCCAGACCCCCTGGTTCCTGACTTGCAAGCTTATTGCACTAGTACCTGTAACGTTCCCATCGAGTCCCTGGAATGTAACGATATAGGAACGGGTGTTACCACATTAGACTATTGATAACGGGATAGTAGCATTATGAGAACACATATTATCACACAGCATTTACTGTTGTACCAGTACTGGTGCTAAAGTAGTTCCTCAGCAGTCCCTCATTGGCGCGTGGTCACTTTTGTGAAAACCCCTATGTCTGCATTGGAAAGAATACTACTGAGAGGTTTAGGTAGCGAGCATTCATTGTTTTTTCTTGTAAACACGACGCAATTCAGTCTACAAAAATAATAAAAAATATTTTTTAAATTGCCTGTGGCACCTTCCTTGCATCAACACTGGAAAAGTTGAGTTGAGTTTGTGGATGTTCTAGGACGGGAGGGGAGGAGGTTGTCTTAGCCAATCAGAACATGAGGACAGATTGAGACCAGGTAGGATTATTGCACACACATCATATTGAATGGTCTGAAAGCATTCTTGCTGGCTGAGGACGCATTTTTACAGTTCTTCTCCTGGGAAGGGCTAGGGACTGTCAGAGCACAGAATGGGAACTCAATTAGGATCATACCGTGCAATAAAATACGTTCCATTCTATTCTCATCACGTACTCATTACATTCTGAGAACACAGTGCGATAAGCTTATTATCTGCTGTTCAGTATCTAGTCCTGACAGGGACAAAGAGAATCCAGCAATGATGGGAAACAACTCTTGAACCAACACTAATTCTGTCCACACCACCATGTTCTCCCCTCCTTGTGGACTATATGTTGCCCCTCTGGTGTGGAAATATATAAAAGAAAATTAAATCATTTTTTTTAAAATAGGAAGCTATTCTTCATCTATTTAATGGCATCTAAAAGTACTTGTGCCTTTAATAAAAACAATCCAATTCACTTAATCATATAATAACTACCAGCCCAAATCCTGTCTTAGGCAGTTCAAAAATTTCTTGAATATTTCCTTCTCTTTGACTTGTATTTGTTAGAACACACTGCATACCTGTGTTATTTTTGGCTACAAATATTTTGTTATATTTTTATTATAATAGCATGAATCTTGAAAGAACAGATGATGTTTAAGTGAACTTCTTGTGACCGGTCACAGACCCGAGGGTATATGAAAAGGACCCCTGTAACTATGGCTGTGAATATTGCTGCTTCGCCATCCCCTTCTGTGTGCCTCTTGAAGATTACAGGCTACAGAACTTATCCCTTGATGTTTTCAAATTAAGCCTCCTGGGCTGCAGCTGGGAGGCAGGATGGAGGCAAGGATTATCACATGCTAAATTGCTGCCGAATCGCCGTCTGCCATCAGCCTGGGTCCCAGCCAGGCTCAGCCAGCGCTTTTTAGAAGCTAGAAAGCATTCCACTTTCTAAAAACCACTCTGGGCTGATGGCAGCTGGTGATTCAGCAGCGATTTAGCATGCAATAATCTCAGTCTCGATCCCACCTCCAGGCTGCAGGCCGGGGGGCTTAATTCGATTTAAAACGCCAAGCAATACTCTCCAAAGGTTTGTCAGCCTAAAGCATTAAGTCAGTCTTGCCCTTATTATACTTTCCCACACCTGATCCTATCCCAAATTCCTTGTGGTTGTCCTGACCATGTTACTGCTTGATTAAACTACCATCAACCAAAAATATCCCTTTTGCAACTCTGAAGTTAAAACCATCAAGCAGGGGGGAATCCCACTGTTTATTCCTGGAAAATCCACCTAACTGCCTCAAAACCCTAGTTCTTGGACTTGTTATACATAGGCGAGATCCTAGCTATTGTTACTTTAGCCCTCTCATTGTTTCCAATTGGGCTAAATTAATTTCCTCATTGAATACAATTTGTGGGTGCCCTCTCAGAATCCCCTGAAATTTAGGTAATCCATTTTCCCCCAAAACCTGACAGCTGAGCTTCAACAGACTGCTGATATTTTTTCCTCCAAGAAAAGAGGTGAGAGTAGGCCAGATGGTATGGGTAAGCATAAGGCAGCTGCAATTCATGGAACATATCTAAAAGGGATGTGAAGGACACAAATTGTTTTTGCTATAGAAGCAAAAGCCCTGGAACAGAATCTGGCTCTCCTATGGTCATGATCTGGCCCTCTGGTGTTTCTCAAAATCCACACTCCCTTCCCCATGACACTACTTCTTTCTGATTTTCAGGTCTTTAGATGCTTTCCCCTGTCCTATAAGATTGAAATAATAACTGGCAGTATGTACTTAAAGAAGAAATGTGCTGGTAATTTGATTTTGGTTTATTTTATTTTGCCTTTGGCTCTGCCCACTCCTGGAGTATGGCTCCCAAATATTTATCCAAAACTGAATTCTGTCCTCAGGGTGAAAGAGGTTCCCTACAATTGAATCCAGCCCTTCTTCATTTGTCTTCATTTTACCAATTGTTTCTCTTCATTTTACAATGTAATTGGAGAGGTGGATGTCATTTTCCTGTTGTTTTTAATAACTTAGGAGCCATAGACCTCACTAACCCTTGTGTACAACTCAGTAGACCTTAATTGACTTTCTGCCCATCCCTGGAATAAATATTGCAATTTTACAATACTCACACCTCAGCATTTTGTATATAAAAAAGTACATTTATTTTTCCATGAAATCACTGCTTTATTTTAATTCTTGAATTTTATCAGGAAAATTCCAAAGACATATGAGACTTAGAAAAGCCTTTAAAGATAGGATTCTTGCTATATAATTTCTAAGCTGATTTTCATAATTTTAATGCGGTTGGTGTTTAAGCATTTTAATATGTAAAATATGAGGTTAAATCTCCCTAAGAGAACCCTGCAAAGACAGGTTTTAAACATGATTAATTCTTATTAGATATTAATAGCATAAGTCCTGAAAAAGAAATGGATAAACTCTTCAGTGCCATCTATTCTCTAGGCAGTGGAATACATTTCTTGCCAATTGCCCATTTTGCATTTTGATATCAGTAACTTCTTTCTGACCTTTGATTTTCTTCTAACTCCAAAAAGGAGTCATAACAAATACTAACTGAAGTTCTGCCAGATTGTAGTCCAACACAGTTATAACAGATGTCCCTGCTGTCCCTTGTTTTAAGTCATGTTGTCTTCTCTTCATGCCAATAGAGCAAAATGTTCATCACAGAGTCTCATTATCAGCCATATGTTGTGTTGTGGTCTTTAACAGAAGAAGGGCAAAGATCTCAATGAGATACCAATGCCAGGATAGAGCTAGAGGCTCATGCAACTTTGAGTTCTTAATTTTGAATTGTACTAGGATTTAATTTTCAGCCAGAGAAATTTAGGGATGGACATTTGGAGATGAATAATGAAACCTTGGGGGGTCAATTTGTAAAATAAGCAGCTGATTTGTTTGAGTTTATATGATAAGCTTTGAGCTACATATATGTTTGGATATACAGTATATTTATTGGAGCAAATAACAAACAGAACTTAATTAATAAGTAAATTCAATTGAAGAGCCAGTGTAGCTCAGTGGTTTGAGTGTTGGACTGTGACTCTAGAAACCAGGGTTCAGTTCCCAGCTTCGCCATGTAAACCTACTGGGTGACCTTTGCTAGTCACACACTCTCAGCTGCAAGGAAAGGCAGTGACAAACCTCTTCTGAACAAATCTTGCCAATAAAACCCCATGATAGGGTCACCGTAAGTTGGAAACGACTTGAAGGCGCACAACATAAGTTGGAAAAACTGGACTAAAAACATGGACTAAACTGGCACAATAAGTTGGAAATGACTTGAAGGCACACACAAAAACAACAAAAAGTTCAATTAATAAGTAAAATGTTTTGGTCTTTACCAATATATATATGTTTTTTGAGATCTGTTTGTATTCACACACACACATTTTTGATATGTATCCTGGTCTGAGTGGGCTTAAAATTAATATTCAAAACAATAAATATTAATGATTATAGAAAAGAATAAAAAATGAGATAAAGGAAAACTTGTCGTGCATGTTACCCTTACTAACATGGGGATCCATCCCCCTGTCTCTCTCATTCACCATCTCCCTCTATCAATATACACACATACAGGAGAGAGCCTTCTCAGTAGCTTTTCCCACCCTCTGGAATTCCTTTCCATGGGATGCTAGGCTAGCCCCCTATCTGTTCTACTTTTGTTGGCAGGCAAAAACCATTTTGTTCAAGCAGGTATTTAATGAGTAACAGCTGGCAGGGAGCCTTCTTATTGGGAGGATGTCTTTATTTATAACCTTTGTCATTTTTAAAATGATTTTATACTGTTTATAATCATTTGTTTCAATGTAATGGTTTTTAATTTTGTTTACAGATTTATTGCTAGCTTTTTTGTTGTTGTGTCCCTATAGTGGCAATGTTCTCATGGATTTTTCTAGGGCTGAGAGCATGTGACTCATCCAAGGCCACCCAGTGGGTTTCTATGGCCAAGCAGGGAATCAAACCCTGATCTCCACAGTCATCATCCAATTCTCAAACCACTACATATTTGAGTTGATTCTTTTTGTGAACTGCTTTGGGTCCCACTCCAGGTGAAAGGCAGCATATAAATGAAACAAATAAATACAATAATATGTGTACAATGTAGCATTTAAAAAAACATGTGCGTTTTTAAATATTGTTTGTTTATACTTTAAGGTATATTTTTGTTTTATAGAAGTGGCTCTGTGTGCTAATTTGTAAAAGGATGGAATATAAATATTAAATAAGATTACTAATGTTATTACTGCTGTTGCTACTAATGCTGATATTAGTACAATGATGATGCTGGTGCTGGTGGTGCCCTTGCTTTTAACTATTTAGTTCTATCTAACTAGTTCTCATTCCTTAAAAAAAGCCTGAACAACTTTCCCAACCCCTATACAATGGTACGTCTGTAGAGCTCTACTCACAAAAAGGAGAAGATTAGATAAAGTCCTCTACACATACATCTGTACATATATAGATTCTGTTCAGATGAGTTCCAGTCCTGCTCTGAAGTAAAGTGAATCTACTTACCCAGGGAGCAGATTTTAAGAGGGGAAAGTAGCAGGAAGTTATCACACAAGGCTAGTAAATCAGAATTATATTAAGATAATAGTGTCTTTGAACAGTGTTTATTACATGATGTCATTTATCTCCTGTTGCTGCTTTGCATTGCAACCATTGCTGGAATGCACCTTTTCACTGATGGGAAAAACCTGTCAATAACTCCCAATATTGCTGCTTTTCCATAGAATAGGTTACATGATAGGTCCCTTACACTGTAATGCTGATATTCTGGTGGTTATGTGTGAGTATGTGTGATTCTTCTCCTCTCCTGCTCCCTCCTCCTCTCTTCCTTGCTACTCCCAAGCAGGCATACATGTGCTGGGTAGGGTATATAAAGGGAGGAAGGCAGGGTTAGTGAGCAGTGAAGAAAAGCAAGCATGAGACCATGGATCACCAACGAAGCACCATAGCACAGCTGCTGAGAAGTGTGATAAGGATTGTGAAGTCATAGGCTTCCATGGCCGACATCCATAGTTTTTTGTGGGTTTTTCAGGCTGTGTGGCTATGTTCTAGAAGAGTTTCTTTCTGATGCTTCTCCAGCATCTGTGGCTGGCATCTTCAGAGATGATAAGGCTTGTTTTCAAACTGATATGTTCTGTTTGCTTCAACAATGCAACTGCAATGATAAAGTTTTAAATATACTGGTTATTCAGGCGCTTGAATTCCCCAAGTGTTTCCTTCCATAGAGCTATGTGTGCCACAAAACTGGTGACCCCAGACTAGTTCCCAGATTAGTCTGGTGTACTGGTGCCCCAGACTAGCCTGGTGTTTCACATGTGGTGGAAGTCAGTACCCCATCCCAGTTTCAGCTAGCTTCTGTACATGGAATGGGAAAGGACAGCATGTTGTCCTTTGCCTTGAGAAGCAAAATCCCTAGCTCAGAGGATGTACAAAGATTTATTGAACATATATGGGTGTAACACAGAGCCTAGCACTGGCTTCCTGCTTCTTCGATGAGCATTTATTGCTCATTGCTTCAATGAGCACCAATAAATTGTCCATACATTCAGAGTACAATAGGGCTTTGGTATCCACTAGGATTTGGTTCCAGGAGTCCCACATGGATACCAAAATCCATGGATGCTCAAGCCCCATTATATGCAATGGCATAGTAAAATGGTGTCCCTTACATAAAATGGTAAAATCTGGGTTTGCTTTCTAGATGAAATTTTTTTTCCAAGGCATGGATGGTAGAATCTGTGCATATGGAAAGCCAACTGTACATTCAAAGGCTGTACATTCCCAGTAAAAACAATAACCCTGGGCACCGTTTCTAAAATGTGTTTGTTTGGGTTTCTCTGATTGGACAGATGTGTTAGAAGGTTGTGCTGTAGTACTTGGGTTTATATGGATAGAAAGATGTTGATATATAGCTATTGTAGTATTTTTGCTGCAGTACTTGGGATTATATATATATGTGTGTGTACTTTGGATTATATAGACAGACAGACAGACAGACTGACTGACAATCTCTAAATGGTGTTTCTGGCAGTTTCTACCAGCAACCACACCATTTAAAAAAAAAACACTACTAAAAAGCATCCTTACTAAGGGCTTCTTGAAACAGAAGAGCAATCAATACCCCTTCCATTAGGTTTTGATCTGACTTGCCGTAGATTATGGCAATAAACAATTCCCAGGATGGAACTAAAATCTTAAATCAATGCTCAATGCTTTAAATTTTATCCAAACCCCTTTGTAGTTTATAGAATCAAAAGCCTCCTCCTGATCAATAAAGGCAGCATAAAACCCTTTTGACATTCAAATGATTGAATTAATGAGTCAGAGAGGACAATATCAAAGAACTGGAATTAGTCCAAATCACCCCTGTGCCACCCCTAATAAACTGGTGTCAGATTCTCAGCTTCCCAGTGTATAGGTTTTAAAGTCTTATTTTATATTCTTTTTCTGCACTGCTTCAGCTAATAGATCTAAATGTGGATTTCCATTCCCCATCTTATCATGATACTTTTTAAAAAATAAACAATTTAATGCTAGACATGAATCTGAGTCAGAAAAGAGGGAAATGGAGCTACTTTTGAATTTGCTGTGCAAATACATTATGGAGTTAAGACTAGCCCCAGTATTAGGCAGATTGAGACAGCTACCTCAAGTGGCATAACTGGGGAGGCAGTTCTCCAGTCTGTCTCTTCTCTTGGAGGACAACACTGCATGTGCTGTTTTAAGAAGTAGCAGAGGACACTATCCAGTTGCCAATGTTAAGTGGCTTCTGTACTAGTTGGCTTCTGTACATGGACTAGAGAAGGGCACCATTTATTTTTTGCCTCTGAAAGAAAAATCTTTCACTGGCCCTGGCTAACTTTGAAGATCAACACAAAACCATCAGGGGGCACATTATATAACCTGCTCAGAAAGCATTAGCAATGAAAATATTCAACTAGTTTATCCTCATATGTGAGTACAAATAATTTCATCCATTGCCCAATATTCACAAATCCTGAAGCATTTGGGGAAATTATTCTGTATAGAATTAGAAATGGGGCTTTTTGCATGAAAAAATTAGTTTCCTACCAAAAAAAAAACCCCATGCTTGTCATGCAAACAAGCAAAAAAATCTGTAACCATATAGGGTGGGGGGGTATGTACAAAAACTAGATTTGCACAAAATCTCATGAGGGTTTCTGCAAACAAAACTCATTTTTTGTGCAAAAAATGTTTCCAAATACCCATGGATATTTTTGCGCAAAACTGCTATTTCAGAGCAAAAGGCCCACTAATTTTGCACAAAAAAACCATTTTGCCCAGAAAATATGTTTTTCACACAAAAATCAGACTTTTCAGACAAAAAAAAAAACTTTCCAAGAAACCTTGTGGGGTTTTTCTGCAAAACTGTAGGTGTATTTAACATAAAATTGGAGTTCACACAAAAAACACAACATAAAAAAGACCACATATATTTCTGTGCATAATAATTTCCCAAAGCACTTTAGGATGTATGGATATCAGGTGAAAACTATGCAAATAAAATCTTTCAATGCTATTCTTCTCAGCTAGGTTTCTCAAGGGTTAAGAAGTGTATTGCTCACCAGGGAAATGAATAATCATAAATATTCTTTCCACCCCTAGAAAATAAGTTGCATATAATTTTCAGATTGTTCATATAGCAAAACATAAAGCACAACATTTATTCCACTTTGGTTATGGCAAATTATGTTATGTTTATGCTGTACTTATTTCTTTGCTTTTGACCATAAACATGATTTTATTGCATAATGTTAAATTATCATTATATATTATGCTGAAGTCAATAAAATATTTTTTTTTAAATAAAATACAGCTGTGGCATGACAGTTGCTCTAAAAAGGAACACGGTCTCCAAATGTTTCATGTGTAGCATCATTTCCAACTAATATGGCAAATTTAAAATGGGCCCAAAAAATCAACAACTAAAGTGGACAAAAGAAATACCATATTGATGAGATACCTTTGTAAAACAGAAAATGTAATTAATTTATTTATTGGATTTATATCCCACCTTTCTCCCAAAATGGATTCAAGGTGGT